CTCTACTATTCAGAATACCTCTGCCCTGTGATTTCCCTTCTGTACTTGGGAGCTTTTACTCATCCTTGACACATACAGTGTATTTTGCTTGGATTAGGAGGGAAGTGAATTTATTCCTCTTAATATTCTCAGACGTAAATTCCTCCAAAGATGGACCTGTATTGGTATAAGATTCATGTCCTTCCATTTCTCCATATTTCTTGATCACTGATCTGAAGCCTGTTAGCCACCTAGTCATATTTTTTTTTAGGATGATCCATAAGGATCACCCTCATGAGCCTCACCACAACAACTTAAGTTTCTTTAAACAAATATCAGATTGTGATACCCCAGGTTCACCCAGGAGTCTGGGAGAGGAAAATAAACATAAGCAATAGACATACCCAGAGTTATGTCCAGAGTACTTGAGTTCAAATCTTGTCTCTTCTTTCAAAAGCTCTGTCACAGATGCATTCTGGGTTTCTTTCTTCTAAAATACAAAGTGGGATTTACCCTTACACTCAGAGTGAGAACCAAGTGTCACTAAATGTAAAATATCTACTTAAAGTGCTTACTATGTAATAAATACTTGCATTTGTGATGACTGGAAGTTATAATCTAAGTTACTGTCCTATACATCAGTTTTATGCCTTCATAATAATAATGTTTGTACTGAAGTTTCACCTTTCAAGTTTTAGATTCTGCGGCCAAGCCCACTGTATTGAAGTTTTGTTATATAAAACTTTTCATACTGAGGTTTGTACTGGTCTTAAACACTTTATGATGAGTGGGTGAGAAAACTATGAAAAGAGTTTCCATAAACTGTCCAAAACAAGGAGCCATTTCTAGGGACACTTGTTACAAGCCACAGTCTTCTAGTAGACATATTTAGGATATTTCCTAGGCTATTACTGTTAATTACCACTGTTAGTTACCATCCCATGCACTTTTTTCCTTTTCTTTTTCTTAAACCAATCTAAAACTCAGAATGACTACCCACACCTACCAGGAGAGCAAAGGAACACACCCTTCTTTGAGAATTATGTTGTATGAATTAGGAAATGTATGCTTTATAAATTTTTTACAGAACACAAATGATTTGAAAAAGAAAGTGCTTGGCATGGGAATTATTTAAGATGCTATACCCAAGATAGGAAGCAACATAATAGTCATTAATAGGATGGGAATCACCCACAGTGTCGTGGATTGACCACTGGTGGTCAATTTATAACCCCCAGCTGAACTGAGTAAGCATGGTGCTGGGTGTGGGAGGCCCACCTGAGAATTGTTGCCAACAGCATAAGAGGCAGAACTGAATAAGAAGAAGTAAGGCTATTGGGAGCTGGAAAAGGCTATTGGGAGCTGGTAGAAGCTGTGAGAAGCTGTTGATTCTTTTGAAGGAGCTTATCATGCTGGCTTTCCTGATGAACTTGGCTGTTTTCATCCTCCAAGGAGCTTGGGACCTTGTTGACACTGAGAATGGCTTCGGTTCACTTTGGGGGAGCTCTGGTCCTCCCTTGAGCATGGCTCTGGAGGGGAAGATGATGCACTGCCAGTCTCCTGAAGAAGCTTGCTGTGTTGGCTTTGCTGATGGGAACTCAGCTTTCCTGATCATTGGAGGAGCTCGGGACTTCACTGCTGCTGAGGAACGCTGTGATACCTTTTGGGGGAGCTCTGGTTCTTCTGAGCATCGCTTCCTAGCTCCAGGGCAGTTCCCTCAGCCAGCTAGCACAGATCCTTCATCCCGCTGGCACAGCCTTCCTAGCTTCCACCACTGATCTTTGGGCCTTCCCAGTGCAGATCCGTGAAACAGGCCTGCATGAGATACTGTTAGGTCTCCAGGTGGACTTGTGGGAGGCATTGTTATGAGCTATAGGTCTTCAGCTGGACTCATGCAGGACACTCCCATGGGATCCAGGTCTTCAGCTAGTTTCCTTGGTCTTAGTGTGTGGACAGATTTCCTGCACTCTCTTGTATATCATTCTTTGGGTGACTACTATAAATAATTTTATAAACTATGTGTCCTATATTATATTGTTTACCTTGCAAATATCCCCTAAATCACAACAAACCTAGAATACAGTAGTTCCCTTGGGATATCTCTTTAAATTACCATGACCTGTCTGTCAAAGGAAAAATACAAGCCTGTTGTGGACTGAATATTCATGTAATTACATCCATGTCATCAAAATGGGGCCAGAGCTAAAGAATTCATATATTATAAGGTAAGGTATGAAGGTTTCTCTCTCCCTGACTGTTCACAAAGAAAAGGGAAGGTGGCCAAGGAGGCTGCCACCTGCAACCCCAGGAGAGAGCCTTCAAACACCACTGATCCCGCTGGCATCTTAATCTTGTATTTTCAGCTCCCAGAACTGTGACTAGATTTCTGTTCTTTAAGCTACCTGATCAATATTTTGTTATAGCAGCTAATTGTACTACAAACAGATTTCAGGAAGTGCTACTAATATCAGTAACCTCTCAGGAAAGAAACTTTGGAGTCATCTCACTAGAAAAAGAACCACAACCAGCTGAGGGGCTTTCTGACACAAAGCAGTTAGTGGAAAAATGGGTGGTTCTAAAAACCAGCTATGGGCTGGGGATATAGCTCAGTGACACAGCGCCTGCCTGGCAAGTGCAAGATCCTGAGTTCAATTCCCAGTACTGAAAAAAAAAACAAAAAAAAAACCAACTGAATACCAGTTACAATGACATGGAAAGATACAGAATTGAGGACTGTGACCATCATGATTATTTCCTGTTACTGCCTGTGTGTGCAGCAGATCTTCATTTTTTCCTTTATCTCCTTTTTATATAAGAAAATCCATTAACTTCACATCACCCCACTTAAGCATTTTAGTACTTGCTATCCTGTAGCACCAAAGTTAAGAGGTGAAAGATTTATATGATCTGAAGAGAAACCAGAGTATGTAGCACCTAAGTTATATGAAAACAAGAGTGAACACTACACAGACTTTGATCTTCTGAAAATCATTACTGTGTGACGTCATATACAGAAAAGTTGTACATCATGCGGTGGAATTACGACTTTGTTATTATCTTTACATAAAATGATCGACATCTAAAGTATTATGTATGCCTACAAGACAGTGAGGAAGCTGGTGTTAGTCATATTCATGTGAATGGTAAGGCATGGCAGAGTGGAGCAGTGGCTGTGATTGCTGGACTGACAATGGACCTGGCATGGGAAATTATGGAGAAATTGAGTCAGGATGGATTGGCCAGCAGCATCCTCATGCAAAATGAAAGGTCACTGGAAAACTGTGCCAAAGATCTGGTGTCTATTTCTGTGAAGATCTCAGACTCTCAAGCTGAGAAACTTTGGATCACTGTTGTGATGGCTCTAGGTACCAGTGCTTGTTTACTGTCCATGCACGACCTTACATGCTGAAGGCTCCTATGGCTAAGGCCATTCACACTTCCTACTGTGTTAGCAAGTCTCCAGCCCACTCCTAAGGTACCAGAAATACAAGACTGCACGATGGTTTGGAAATAACAGAGGAGAACATCCTATAACGGATACAAGGGCAAACAGTAATGCATAGATAGTGTCTATGGAAATTTTTGAGTCCTCAGCCTTGTACTCAAAAGGGTTTACACTGAGGGCATCTATAGACTTTATAATCTTCTCTGGAGATTTTCCTTCATGGGGACAGGAACCTCTGTAAAAGAATGCATATTTTTCTGCATGTTTCTTTGTTGTACATCATTTCTACAATTTCAGATCTTTATTTCCTTGTAACTCTTCACCTCATCCTGAATTGGGAGATAAGTATTTCAGTAAATGAGAAGACACAAATGCCCCTAGAAATTGACTGGTCAATAAATTAAGATGGTCCATACTCTTCTTCCTAGTGAGTGACTGCCTCAGCGATCTTTGCAGTGAGGTGACAGGAAGGTGAGGTGTAAGGGAAGCATCATAAGAGTGCTATGGTAGGGGAGTGTGCATATAAGCACACACGCACACACAGATTGACAAAATCCATGTTGGAATCTGTTCTCCATCAAGGTCACCCAAGGATTAAGAATTCTGGATTTCTTATGGCCAAGAACTGCTCTGAACAGGTGGCACTGGACAAAACATGCCACTTTTTGTTTTTCCTCCATGCACATGTCAGTTGAGGAAGAGATGGGGATCCAAATGTAAAAATGCAGGAAGGTCCCACTGAACAGCATATTCACTGCACAGTTCTCCTGTTTTTTTTTTTTTTGTTTGTTTGTTTGTTTGTTTTTGAGACAGATCAGGCTGGCCTTGAGCTCACTTTGTAGCTCAGGCTCGTCTGGAACTCTGAACAATCCTCCTCCTCCGAACAATCCTCCGAACAATCCTCCACCACACCGGCTTTCTCGTGTTTCATTGAAGGTGAACAGCTGGGCATGGCGGCACATGCCTGTAATTGCAGCACTTGGGAGGCTGAGGCAGGAGGATCGTTGTGAGTTCGAGGCCATCCTGGGCTACAAAGTGAGCTCAAGTCCAGCCAAAACTGCATAGCAAGACCTTGTCTCAAAAAAGACCAAAAAAAAAAAAAAAAAAAAAAAAAAAATCAATGAGAAAAATAAAGCTAAGCAGCCAAACAGAACACTCACCACACTGTCATGAGACATACTCCAAATGGACTTGTTACTATTGTACCATCCTGCACAATAAACACAATGTTTAGCCTGGCATGGTGGCACATGCCTGTAATCCTAATATTCTGGGAGGCTGAACCAGGATGATAACAAGTTCCGGCTCAGCCCAGACAACATTTTGAGACCATGCCACAGAATAAGAACAGAAAAACAGCTGGACATATGGCAGAATGTAGTTCAGTGTGAAGGTCTTAGGTTCTACCCACCATGCTGTAAAAAATAAATAATTTATAAAGACATTTATTATATTTAAAAATACAGAAAAGGACTTTTACTGAAAGGGAATTTGGCAGGAATATGAAAAATGCCTGGACACCTATGAAGTTAGAAGCACTCATTTATTAAACAAAAACATAAAAAAAAATGTGATTTTTAACTATATTCTATTTTTAAAACAGAACTGGGAGTGACACATTTGTAAGTGAAGTGATACATATGTTTATTTTTAATATTTTTGGTACCAGGAATTGAACTCACGACCCCTCACATGCCAGGTAGGGCCAGTACCACTGAGCTGTATCCCCAGCCCACACATATGCTTTAAAATAATTTATTTTAATCAGATGCAAATGAGCCAATAATTAAGACACCAAAATAGATTATTATTATTCGTGTGCCAGGCTCAAGATGACTAGCTATAAATCCTGTCTATTTTTTGGTTTTTACAATGGTATATGAGATAAATTTCATTATTATTATCTCTTTATTATTGTATTTATTTTTTACAAATAGTCATCTGAATCCCACAGACTGTATTTTATAGGGACCAACATGTGGTAATACCAGAATTACCCCACACACAACACTCTAAATTTGTGAGAACAGTGTGTACAGCAAACTGCAGTAGTATTGAAAATGGGACCTTAAATGAGCCCCGGAGACAGCAGGTCAAGTGGTTAAAATGGAGCAGGCCCCTCAGAGGCGGGAGACGCACACCTCGGCCAGATGCATGCAGGGAAAGAGAGAGAGGGTGTAAGAAAGTTTAAGGGTTTGGCCCACATAATGTCATAGGCTCTGAACTCCCCCCAAGACTGAAAAATGGAAAACCATTACCAGAAACGGCAAACAGGAAATTTATAGGTGAGAAACCCATGGTCTGTCACACTGTAGAGTGAGAGTATGGGCCTGAGTCTAAAGAAACTTCAACACGACCTGGAGGCAGGGAAAAGGCCACAGTCCAGGGATTAGAGCTGTCAGATACCTCAAATCATTACACTGAAATTTATTCTGCAGCCCTGTGACCCAGGCATCAAGTTTAGGTTGATAATTTGGAGCACTGCAGTTAAAGGAGGTGTTGAAGTATGCTCGATCACTTAATCCCAGACCCTGTTATTCTACCGGTAACACTGCCCTGAATTGACGGGTCGTGAGGCCTGGGTGCTTTCACCCAATTTCACTAGTCTCAGTGGATTATTTGCTGTCCTTCTTTGTCTCTTAGTTGCAGAAACGGCAACATTTGGATATTTGCTTGCAGTCAGTGTCACAGGAGCTGGAGAAAAATTACAAGTTTGGTGAAGGACATTCTCGGGAAGATCTTATGAAAAAGGGACTTGGAGGAATGTCATCCAGGCATCTCAGGAGACGTGGTACATTGCCAGAACCACATTGTGTGTGTGGGAGGGGAGAAATATGGCTCTCAAAATATGAGAAATAAGGTATGAAATATATCGAAGAGAGGGAGGCTTAAGCTGCTCAGGCTGGATTTGAACTTGCAGTCTTTCTGCCTTTACCTCGTGAGTAGCTAGGATTACAGGCAGCATGGATCAGAGCACCCACTTAGCTCTACTGACCTTGCTGCGATTGTAGAATCTTTTTCAGATCAGGAGCTTGGAACACGGTCCTCTGTTTCTTGGGAAAAGTTCTTGGTTTCTTCACAGTGAATACCTTACTCCTAGGGAGGAAAAAAGGGAATTGCACATCTCACACCTGTGTCTTTCAAACACCACTCACATCTATCATTTCATCTCATTTTCACACTTGAACTCTCCCCTCTCAGCATCCTGGGAGGGGCAAGACAAACTCTTGACCCTGAAAAGTCATGAGAAAGGTATCTGACTTCTCAATCATTCTGTATGATCTTTAAAACAAAACCCCCTGCCTCAAATTAAAACATAACAATGAGTGGAAGAGTTCCTGCCATAAGTGTGGGCTCCTGAGGATGTACTCAGTAAATACTTGGCAACATCCGGCTCGTCAGGGTCTGGGCTTACCAGGGTAGGATCCCTACCAGGAGGAGCCCGAGAACTCCAAAGCTCATTGTCAACAGAAAGGTCCTCAGATGCCATCTGAGGTCTCAAGGTTTATTTTATCTCTGGGAAAACTTACAAGCATTCGGAAAGGAACACCAGAATTATACTGCTCTGAATTCCATGGGTTTGGAAAAGCTCGATGCTGCCAGGCAGGCGTGCCATTGTAGACAGCAGGATGAGGCCTTTCCCAACTCTTCCCAACCATGTGATTAAGCACATCCACTTGGGCCAAAATTCTGTTTCACACACTCAAGTATGTTTTTGGACGTGATCTCTACCGTTTTTAGGAAAAAAATATAAATGCTGTATGCAGGGATTATTGCCAGGGTTAGTTCTTACCACTTGGTAAGGTAGATGTATTCCATCTACTATAAAGCAAACACCTATTAAACCCAAAGGCTAGAGCTAGATGCAGATACACAGTGGATAAAGTGGTGATGCGAAGGGGTTGACCGTGTAACACCTCGTCCTTAACACCACCTCTGTTCCACGCGTGACTCCTCACAACTCAGCTTGCTGCCATACCATGTGGGCCCCTCTGCTCTATTCTCAGTAGGACTAAAATACTCAAACTCTGACTGGTGATGAGGAATTTCTAAAATTCTCTGACCTGAGAGTGAAATGTTCTATTCTAATTGAACACTCCTTAATTTTAATAACTATGAATCTCTTCTCACACACACAATTTCCATCCTTGGCATCCCACACATACCTTCTAAGCATGTCCTTCACATCCTAGTGAGAAAGAAGAAAACACGAGTTAAGAAGTAATAGACTTTCCTCACAAAGTTTTGTCATCCTCAGAATCCCCTAATATGCTGAGAATAGAGATTTTCCCAGTGTGAGACAACAAAATAAAGATAAAATTAGGTTCAACCATGCCATAGCTACCCATGAGATGATTTAAGTATTACATGCTTGTTTCACTTATTTTATAGATACATGCAGTGATATAGGATGGTGTCAGCCCTACACAGATACAGTGGAAACTATGATTTTCTAGGGATGAACAGGTTTTGCGGAATTGAAGATAAATAAATAATAGTTCCAGAAAAAGTTTACATGGATTTTGCTGAAGGCACAAGCAAACAAGTGTTTGTAACAAATATCTCTTTGCATGTTACTTGTTAACTATAACGGTTCTATCTGCTCATTTAAGTGAAATGTATAAAAGTTGCTTCTAATTTTATCTATCTGTTTACTTTTTTATTTATTTATTTATTTTGATGCAGGGTCTTGATATGTGCCTTAGGCTGGTCTTGAAGTAATTATGTAGGATAAGCCAACCTCGAACTCATTGACAATCCATTTGCCTCAGCCTCTCCAGTGCTGGGATTATAGGAGTGTGCCACCAAGCCCAGGTCTAATTCTATTTTTATTCAGATCTGTCAGTTAAATGCAGTATAATATACTGAATAATGAAGAAGCTACAGGGTGAGAAATTGGGATGTCTAATATTTAATATCAACCGTGCCAGGCATGGTGGGGCATGCCTATAATCTCAGCATTTGGGAGGCTGAGGCAGGAGGATCGTTGGGAGTTTGAGACCAATGCTTGGGCTACAAAGTGAGCTCAAGGCCAGCCTAAACTGCATAGTGAGACCCTGTTTGAGAAAGACAAAAAAAAAAAAAAAAATCAACCATGATACTTTTACTCCCACACTGCATTACCTTAAAGATTATAATACCCACCCTGAATTCCAGTTTCCATTAGTTGACAGCCTTCCTGGGCTTTAGTCATCTATTCATTTTATCACTGTAGATTTTGTTTGGACAGCAATACGGCAATGCACTTGATATTTTTTACCCCAGACTTCCTCCTCCTTATAAAAGTTATTGGCAAAATGTAAGGCAAGAGCTGGGCCCACATACACATACACAGAGTTTTGCTCTTCATAATAGTACATTTATATTGTTCCTACATAAATCAAACAAATTGTGTTTAGAGCTAAAAAAAGGGTCTATTGTAGGAAGTTATAACTACAGCAACTGCTGAGTTTTACAGCTCAAAGTTATCTCTAGGATCCAGTCCACATCTTTCTTGAAATTCAAGCCTCAGTGACTTTCCTGATACAAACTTTGCAGAAATGAGAAATATTCTTCAAAGTTTTAACAAAAAGTTTCAGAGCCCGTGTGGTGCCTGTCTGCATTAGATCAGATAACCATCTTAAAATCTAACTGTGTTGTTGCTACAAACACAGAAACCAGACAGAGCTGTTAAAGTGGGATTAAGTGACAGATTAAGTGATGTACAGTTCTGGACCTGCTAAAAATGCATATGTAAGAACAGATGAGCAGGGCATGGTGGTGCACACCTATAATCCCAACACTTGGGAGGATGAGGCAGGAGGATCGTTCCAAGTTCAAGACCAGCCTGGGCTACAAATTGTGCTCAAAAACAGCATGAACTACATAGCAAGACCCTGTCTCAAAAAGACCAAAAACCAAACAAACAAAAAGAAGAGAAAAGGTACACAGAACCCATCAGGTGAGCTGTAGCCAGCTTGAAAATAGCTTGAACTTGGGGCTGGGGATTTAGCTCAGCAGCACAGCACCTGCCTGGCAAGCACAAGGTTGTGAATTTGATTCCTGGTACTGGAAAAAAAATAAAAAAATAAAAAAATAAAAAAAAAGAAAATAGCTTGAACTTTGAACGGACTCCCCTACCCAAATGCACATCCATATGTTTACATAAAATAACAACACCAAAGTACTATTGGATGGGTTTAAAACAGATTAAGAGAGTAGATGAAAGGTTGGTTGAACTTGACGCTGTCACAAAGAACAATTTTCAGTCAGGAATGGGGGTGTACATATACCTCAGTGGTAGTGTATGACTAATATATGAAAGACCCTGATTCTCGAAAAAAGGAAACATTTTATAGTACAGAGAAGAGGAAACTCAGGTGCAATGGTCACGTCTGTAATGCCAGCACACTGGAAGACAGAGACAGCAGGATCACAAGTTCAAGCCCCGTCTGTGCCATTCAGGGACTGAGCGAAACCCTCTCTCAAAATAAACAGCAAAAAATAGTTCTGGAGAAGGAATTCAGTGTGAAAGTGCTGGGTTTGATCCGCTGAAGAACAAAGGAAAGGAAAACAAAGCCAAAAAAAGATTAAAATGAGGAAGAGAGCTTCTATGACATGTGACGTGTGAGACACGATTCAAGGCAAATGTGCCACAAGATATGTGAAATGCATGTTCCCAGGGAAACAAGAGAAAAATAGATGAAGAAATAATTAGGAAAAAACTTTTTCAAATTCTATAAAAGATATTAATAACTCTCTGAGGCTCAGTGAACCAAGTTACATAAATAAAATGATTTAAATTCAACGCAGACGGGCTTCTGGCGATCAAAAACAGAGCGAAAGGGCCGGAAATGCAGTTCAGTGATGAGGGCCTGCTGAGCATGTGGGAAGCCCTGGGCTCCATCACCAGAGCTGCCAGGAAAAACAGAAACCAACCAAGCAGAAAAGAAACAAAGGAAAATACGGTAACATTGTAGGGCGGTAGGAGGAAGGACAATCCTCACAAAGAAAAGCCGTCGGAATGGTGACGGGCTCACTCCTCATCCGACCCGGGAGAGGCCAGAGAGGACCAGGCTGAGGTACTGAAAGCAAGAAAAGGAGGAAACTGTCCACTGAGAATTTCACATAAAGCAGAAGTAGTTCTTCCAAATGAAGGAAAATAGATATATTGCCTGAAAAAAACTGATACATTATTGCTGACCAACGAGCTTTACAATTAAGTTTCTTAAGTTAGACAAAAAGGCCTATCCTCAGCCCTTCAGTTCAATATGGCAGAGGCAGTTCAAGGCTAAACAACTAGGGAGAATATGGGATATCCAATATAGAATGAAAGAAGATCAACTGCCCTTACTCTCAGATAATATGATCTTTGATGGGGAAGACACTGAAGATTCCACCGAAATGCCTTTTAGAACTCATATAAATTCAGTGACAGTGTAGGATTAAAAAAAAAAATCAAAATCTAAAGTAACATCAAAAAAAAGTAAACTAACATCACACTGTCCAAAGAAGAAGAAAAAACCCACTTACAATATCTACAATAAAACAAATTATTTAAGAATAAATTGAACAAGGATGTGAAAGATCTGGGTACTGTAACCTATAAAACACTGGTGACAGAAGTTGAAGAACACACAAAGAAATGGAAACACATGGACGATCTAATATTGGTTAGTGCCCATGCTAATTACTGTAAACCATAGATTCAATGCAACCATATCAAAACTCCGGTTTTTTATTTTTATTTATTTGTTTATTTTGTCTTTCTGAGACAGGGTCTTGTGATGCAGCTCAGGCTGGCCTTGAGCTCACTTTGTAGCCCAGGCTGGTCTCAAACTCACAACAATCCTCCAGCCTCAGCCTCCCATGCACTAACATACCCGGCTGACATTATTTATAGAAATACAAAAAAAAATTATAAAATACATCTGGAAATGCTACACAAAAGAGCTCAAAATGCTAAACATTCTTCAGAAAAAGAGTAAAGTTAGAAGCATCATCATAATATTTGATTTTAAAATCAACTACAAAGCTATAGTCATCAAAACACAGGGTATGGGCACTGAAAACAAACATATCTGACAATGTGGCAGAATAGAGATCGAAGGAAGTGAAATCAATATATTTACAGGAAGTTGAATTTTGACCGAGGTATCAACAGTGCACTGTGTGGAAGGAACTAGGTTGTGAGTAAATTGCGCTGGGATAACTGCAGGTCCACAAGCTACATAATGAAAAGCGGCCATATGTCTTAAGCCACACAAACAAATCAACTCTAAATGTACGAGAAGACATAGGGCAGAACTCCACGACCAGTCGGCAATGAAATCCAATGCACTGGCTAGGAAGGTAAATGAGAAAAACAGGATTGTACCACACTACAAAGCTACTGCACAGCAAATTAAACAATCAACCAAATGAGCAGCCAGGTATGCACTAGCCTAAGATATATGCAAATCAGACATATGATAAAGAAATAAAACCCAAATACACAAAGAACTCATACATTTCAAAGGCAGAAAAACACCTATGACAATTTAAAAATGGATGAAACACCTGAATAGACATTTCCCAAAAGACATACAAATGACAGCTATATGAAAAATGCCTGTGTGGGGATATAGCTAGATAGCATAAGTGCTTATCCTGGTAAGCCTAAGGTCATGAGTTTGATTCCCAGTGCCCCCCCCCAAAATGCCAGAAATCATTCATCATCAAGGACATGCAAGTTAAACTATAATAAAGTATCACTTAATGCCTGTTAGAATGATTATTGTCATTAAGCAAGCGGCAAGGGATGGCAAAGATGTGGACAAAAGGAGCCCTCTCACACTGCCATGCACATGTAACTGAGCTTAGTCATTATGGGAGACATTATGGAGGATCCTCAAGAAATTAAAAATATATAAGTAGCACATGATCTACCAATCTAAACACTAGGAACATGTCAAAAGGATATGAGTCAGCACGCCCAAGCCCTATGTACACTCTTATGATACTTACTGACGCATTATTCCAACTATCCAAGACATGGAATCAGTCTAAGCACCTATCAGCGTATAAATGGATAAAGGTACTGTGGTATACACACAGTGTAAAGCTCTTCAGCTTGGAAAAATGATAAGGAATGAGATCCCGTCATTTGCAGCAACACGGATGAATGTGGAGGATTTTATGTTAAATGAAACAAGCCAGACCCAGAGAAACAGTAGTGAGGATTATCACACAAACATGTGGAACAAACACACAGTGACCTCATAAGGGTATAAGCAGAATGCGGGGACTGTTGTGGGCCAGAGATGGGCAGATATTTGTCAAAAGATACAAAACTGAAGTTAGGAAGTGGGAAAATCTTCGAGAAATTCATTGCCCAAATGGTGGCTATACTTAGAACAATGTGTTATATTCTGACAAACTGCCTAAAGGATAGACTTTGTTGTCACCATAGAAAAAAAGATAAGTATGTAAAATAATAAGCAAGTTAATTAGCTCTATTTTGACATACCACAGTATGTATAGATTTCAAATGAGTATGTTATATGTGATAGATACAAACAATCTTGTTTTGTCTTTTTGAGACAGGATCTTGCTATGCAGTTCAGGCTGGCCTTGAGCTCACTTTGTAGCCCAGGCTGGTCTCGAACTCCCAAAATCCTCCTGCCTCAGCCTCCCAAATGCTGGCATTAATGGGGTGTGCCAGCACTCCTGTCGACAACTTTTATTTGACAGTTGAATAAAATTAAGAATAACATAAATAAAAAGGTTTCTAAAGAATTCTGATGACTATGACTGCAAGCTTAACAACTTATAAAATGAACCAATTCCTACAAAGACAAGGCTTACCAAAAACTAACAGAAGAAGAAAAGATTAAATGAACCTGAGGCAAGTAAAAAAAATGAAAATATTTATACTGGCAAAAAAGCAAAAGAGCAGAAATAAAAACAAAATAACCACTGACATGGCTTCACTTCAGAACGCTACTGAATATTGAAAGAAAACAAATACTAGTCTGTGACAATTTTTTTTCAGGGAATGAAATGGAAAAAGTCACAACTGATTCCACAAGGGAAAATGGAATATGCTTTGTAACCTGAAGCTCCTCTGTTTACCACTGACTGCCCCAATCATGAAAACATGCTTGAGAAATGCTTCCCACTAGATCCCAGAAGAGAGCCAATTGCAAAACACCACTGGATACAATGGCTTTTCCCTCCCACAGGCAATTTTTGCATGGTACTTCTTAAGAACTCAAACAGGATTCTCCCTTCTTTGTACATGCATGCAATTATTCCCATAATGTGTAAAACTGATTCACTTCCGTGAGGCACCAATCAGCCCCAAGAATTTAGTACCATCACTAAAAGCAGGGCAGCACAGGACAGGAGGAAACACTTTCCAATCCTCCTGAATCTCAGAAGCGGGACTCCTGGGAGTCTTACCTGCAGCATGGCCACTGTGGACCCCTGCAGCCGGTGCCGCACATCTGAGATGAGCTCCCTCACCTCCCGGGCCTGCTGGGCCAGCTCCTTTTCAGACTCGGCCAGGCCATTCAGAACACCTTGCTCCTCTGTCTGCAGCTTCTGCAGGTGGGTCCTCTCCTCAGAGTCCAGGGTGGCTCGCATTTGTTGAAACGCAGCCCGGACACTTTCTCTCTCCCCCTGTATTTGATTCTTCAGGAATGAGAAACAGACAGGCACTCAGTTAGGTGAGTTTGCAAGCCAGAAAAATAATAACTCTTTTTACTGGGAAGTCTCAGAGGAAGGGAGGTAGAAAGGAGACGTTCTTAGGGAAGCACAATGTTCCTGTGATTTTCCCTTCCTGCCATTAAAATCAATGACATTAAGCCAACCTTCTCAAGGCTCAGGCTACACCAGATGGGACACCCACACCTCCCAGCTGATCAGGAACCCTCATCTCCCGCTTTACTCCTCACTGCACCTGGGCACTCCCCGGCAAGACTTGAATACAGAAGACAGAATCGGGACCCTTTGTCAAATGTCAGTCTGAGTAGAGTCCATCTCAAAACCCACCACAGCCACAGAGGACGGCGTGCACTAGCCATCTTCCCCAGCACCCCTCAGTGTGAACACCTAGCTCCTAGCAGCCGTATTCGTTAGTGACAATCACTCTCCACACCACACTCCCAAAGGAAAAGCATGCACAGGACTCATCCCATGACCTGTGGACTCAACCAGTGGCAGAGAATAGAGAAGAAGGACCTCCTCCCCAGACCCTGTCAGATTTCTGGCTAGCACCCTGAGGAAGTGTGGCCTCCTGCCTTCCAGGAAGTCCTTTCTTCGTCGATGTGAGCGTTCCACTTCTCAAACTCTTTCTCATCCTTCAGCAGCTTCTGCAGCACTTCCTGGAGTCTCGTCTGTGAGAAAAGAACCACACCACAGTCAAGCTATGAGTTTCTCAGGACATGGACAGTGGACAAATGTGGATGAGATCTGGTTGATCTCACCAGAAACCTAAGGTTACTGACAGTGAGGAAAAGCTGATGAGAAAGACACCTGAGAAGATGAATGTCCTCTTTGCATCTCTCGGTAATTCTTCTTTAATTAGTAAGGCAAAGTCCCCTTCACCAAGTGTAGACTGATTCTTTCTGTCCCTGAAGTGAAAACTGATTCTCCATCAAGAAAAGAACTTGTATCTGAGCCCATCTCATTTATGCCTTTGCTGAAATAGATAATCAGTGCTTGGCAACCAAGTCTCCACCCATCTAGTATAAGTTACAGAAAATTTTGCTTTTGTCTAGGAACTTTTACTCTAAGCTTATTCTGATGCAATCAACTGGAGCGCACAAATACATATGTTGGCTGCAGAAGACAAGGAAAGAGTGGACAGAAGTCACAGACCTTAGTTCTATGGCAGCAAACTAATTAAACTCTAGTGCATCATGGAAGTTTCCTACTGGGCAGTATTTTCTGGTCTCTCTTCCCACAACGCAGACCTCTTACCCAATAGACCTGTGCAGCCTCCTGCATGAGAAGCGTGTAGTGACCGCGGTGCTGTTGAGAATGCTCACAAAGCCAGCAAATGAATTTCTCATCTGTCATACAGAACAGCAGGAGTTTCTCCCCATGGAGGTCACACTGATCTGCCTTGTGGGTCAGGGTCATGTCCCTGAGCCTCTCCACTATATTGGCCACATGTCGACTGGGCCTCAGGTTTTCAAACTGATAAGTGTCTCTGCACACAGGACATTTTTTCACTCCTTGTTCATGTTCTGTCAACACATAGCTTGAAGTGATGCAGAGTTTGCAGAAAGTGTGGCCACAGTCGGTGCTCACAGGTTCTGTCATGAGCTCCAGGCAGATGGGGCAGGTCACCTCCTCCTTCACATCTTCCAGGACTGACGAAGCCATAGATGCTGTTTCCCTGCTCCTGTCTGTCCACACTCTGAGGCTTCTCCTGCCCTGGATCCTGACGTTGGGAAAGTTAAAATGGGGCAGAGTAAGAAAGGTGGTAATAGAAAGAGTGAATAGTGAGTAGGCAAAAATCATGTAGGCATCATGACCAAAATATTAAAAGTCACAAAAGAAAAAGGAGGGAAACAAGAAAAGGAGTTTACTGACATCATACTCACTATGTCATAATACTTCAGGGACTTTACTCTCAGTTCATTTCATATGATAAAATTTACGTATAGAATGGTTTTTATTTTCCCTTCCTTTACTGGACAGAAGGACAAATGGAGTCCTTTGTTCCCAAAATTCTCGTGTAGTCCTTACTTTTCTTTCTATCACCCAAATGACATCCTCAATGTTAAAATCACCAAACTACTTATACCACAGGACACCTGTGATAACTTTGCTATCAGTATGGTCCCATTCTTATACTTCCTGTACAAGTTATCTCAGATGGAGCTGTTCTAACTCTCTGTTGTAGTTAGGGATTGCACGTAGAACAATACTTAATTATATGATTATTTTATAGTAGTCACCCAAAAAGTCATACATGAAGACAGTGCAGGAAATCTTTCCACACACTAAAGAGCAAAAGAATCTGGCTGAGGGCCTGGATCCCACAGCAATGTCCTGCAAGAGTGCAGCTGAAGACCTAGAGCTCATAACAATGCCCCCTACTAGTCCAACTGGAGGCCTAGAGCCCATGACAATATCTTACTCAGGCCTGTTTCACGGAACTGGGCTGTGAAAGTTCAAAGGGCAGTGGTGAAAGCCATGAAGTCTGGACTAGCAGGATGAAGGATCTGTGTTAGCAGGCTTGGGATCTATACCAGAGCCAGGAAGTGACACCCAAAGTAAGGACCAGAGCTCCCCGCAAAACGTACCACTGCCATCCTCAGCAAGGAGGTCCTGAGCTTCTCAGATGATGACAACAGCTGAGTCTATATCAGGAGAGCCAGCACTACAAGCTTCTCCAGAGCATTGGACTGTGCACCCTCTTCCCCTTTGGAGCCAGGAAGCAATGCTCAAAGTAAGGACCAGAGCTCCCCAAAGTGAACTGTAGCCATTGTCAGAGACAACAGGTCCTGACCTCCTCTGACAATGGTAACAGTAGAGTTTATAAGGAAAGCCAGCATGACAAGCTCCTCCAAGAAAATCAACAGCTCCCTAACAGCTTCCTTTCTTCTTCTCCAGTTCATCTTTTTATTTTGTTGGCAACAGTCCTCAGGTGGGCCTCATACACCCAGCACTCTGCTGGTTCAGTTCAGCTGGGTGTTACAAGTTGACCACCAGCTGTCAATCCACCACACTCCCTCAAGTTTCACTGCTTGCTATTCATTTGCAGTTATTTCTTTTTGATACCACAAAATATTAGACATGATCATCTGGCAAATTATTATTGCTGATGAATAATGTCCTAGAAGCTTGACTGAAATCTAAAAAGAAAGATGATGCTAAACATGGTTTAATCTAATATATGGACTTGACACTCAACTTGAAAATCGTACAAATTAAATAATCAGAAAGATCACACGTGACATAATAAAAAATCAGAAAGATCACAGTACTCAGAAATGAACCTGTAGTTACCAAATTAAATGAGGCAAAGTTGTTATCTTAGCACTCCAACCTAAGAATACAAGATTATAGCTGAAGCCTAAAAATTATGAAGGAAATATGGGTCAAAAAAGAGACAAATGTGTGAGAAGTAATTACACATAGAAATAACCTGTTCATAGAGATAAAGCATCTTCAATGATTGTGAAAATGCCAGTTGGGCTACTCTGCAAACAGCCACTAGCTTTTGGTATCACATAAGCCTACAGGGAAGAGAAAATGGGTGACCTTTCAAGACAGGCAAACACTTCGGGACTCTTCCTTAGGAGGAGAAATTATCCACATCAGTTATCATGGGAAGTATTGCACCTCCCTCCTGGCCAACAGTCTGTGTAGAGTCAGACCCAAACACATTGTGACAGTGAAAAGCGCGCCATTGTCAGTTTGCAAAAAAAACAGCCCTGGGGTTCTGACCCTGTCGCGGGGGGAACAGGACGGTCTGCCCTGGAGTCAGTACCCTGGCACACTGAGCCAAGGCGAACTCACAAGTATAGGCCAGCAAGGAGGGAAGCGGGTGAGAGGGGTGCTCCCAGTGGAGAAGGAGCAGTCCCTCTGGGAGAGGGAGCCTTCCCTGCTCACACCTCACTGTTCCCAGGCCTCAGCATCTCTGCAGCAGGAAGCCGCGAGCTCAGCTTTTCCCCTAGCCCAGAAAGGCTTCAAAATCCAAAGGAAACAAACCCAAGCAAATGCTGCTTTTTCTTCTAAAGTCTTCTGAGCTCTGCCCACCACGAAGTGCTTAACACAGCTTTGGACGCCTATGGAGAAGTCGTGAGTCCGTGCAGTGCAGGGAACAGGTCTGCCAAGTGGCTGAGGATTTATTCAACTAGGAAGCAGCCAGGTGGGACAGAAAGCAAAGTAGGTGGGGCAGAGTGGAGGGCTGAGGAGGAGACGCTTTGACCAATGCGACAAACCTGTGGAAGGCTGGGCCTGTGACCCCTGGGTGATCCTGGGAGGAGAGCTTGCCAAAGAAACTTGGGGAGAGTCTTAGCTGCTGGCAGAGTGGAGGAATAGCTGTAGCCGTCTGTTTTAGTGATTGGAACGCCAGGTTACTGAGGCCCAACTTCCACTCCTAACACCACTGTCACTTGGTTCACGGCTCCATTCGGTAATGATGGAGGTGTTTGAGGAAAGAGATTTACACCAGCATCCATAGATTGATGTGTTAATTTACTGAAGGAATGAAAGCACACCTGATATGAAAGCTGCAATTCTACTTGCCACCTGATTAAACTTACAATAATCTGCTATACTTTTCTAAAATCTGTCTTTTGCAAAGCCCAAATAGACCATTTTGAAGAAGATGGGGTAAGAATCACCACTCCTACATCCTTTAAATCCTTAATTGTGCCACTTATCTATATCAATGATCGAGGAATTCGTGTTACTGCTATTGTTTAGTTTTTCTGAAGTAAAGGCAGATCTAGTAGCCTGTATTTCACCTTTTCTGTCTTGTGAGCCCCCACTCCACAAGTGATCAAACCAATGTGGAGATTGTACCATGTGCCGAATGTCTGATCCAATTATGCATTCTAGCAATGGGACAATAATCACTAGATGATTTCAGGGACCCTTTGCAACCACTGATTTTCCACCCATCGCTGGACCGGGATTTCAGGTGTGCACTGTCACCCCACCCAGCTGCTTCCATTTGTGGGTGCCTGGTCCTGTGCCCCGCAATGGGAAAGCTGACTGATACATGTGTGCCTTCTAAGACAGCTGCAGAAAACCAATGGTGCTGTGCAAGTGCCGTCTGTGTCCTCAGAAATCTTCTTGCAGCTGAAGCTCTGCAGGTTTATGAAGCAGTTTACTACCTTATGCCACTGAATACACACGTTAATCTCCTAGTCCATGATCTCCTTTCAAATCCTACTTTGCATATAGTAAAACTTGTTAAACAGAGCACTTCCTTCTCCTCCCTCACATCCTTTATGCTCTAATTGCTACAGTTTTAGTTAAGCTGAAAAAAATGCCTTCATTTAACAATAGGTGGATTGAACTTTTTTCAGCATCTATGGTATTATGGGCTGAAATATATGTGGGTTTTAATATAATACATATTATGTGATATAATGGAAAAATGTAATTCCTTGGCTTCTCTGCTTTCCATTACTAAAACAAAATACCTGAAATAATGAACTGATGAAATGAAGAGGTTTATTTTGGCTCATAATCTGAGTTTTCACCTGTGGACCTATGGCTTTTAGGCTACAAAAGGAGGTGCAAACTTGGGCACACGCCTGTGATCTAAGAACATCTAATTAGGCCCCAGCTTCTGAAGGTTCACTCACTTCCCAGGAGAAGCACTTGAAGACCAGTCATCTAACATTACCCACATGCAGGAAAAACCAAGCAACTGGTTTCACAATCAGCCAGATGCATTCACTAACAAGGATCTTAAAGCAGTTATTACAACTATGGTCAATGTGGTGGATTAACTAATAGTGAACTTATAATACCCAGGTGAACTGAGTTAGCATGGTTCTGGGTGTGAAAAGCCTCCCTGTGAACTGTTATCAACAGCATGAAGCAGAACTGAAGACAACGTGCTGTTGTTCTTCTCCTGGAGAAGCTTGTCACACTGGCTTTCCGGATGTGAACTCAGCTGTTCTCATCTTCAGAGAAACTTGGGTCCTCACTGTCACTGTGAGTCTCTGTAGGGGAGCCTTGGTCCTTCCATTGAGTGTCACTTCCTGGCTCCAGGACTGACCCCTCAGCCTGCTAGCACAGATCCTTTATCCCTCTGGCACAGACTTTGTAGCATCATTGCTGCCCTTTGGGCCTTCCCAGTGCAGATCCTTGATACAGACCTGTGTGAGGCCCTGAGGACTCTCATCCTATAGCTGGATTCCTGAAGGACATTGCTTTGTGCTGAAGGTCTTCAGCTGGACTTGAGCAGAATATTGCCCTTGGATCCAGGCCCTCAGCTGGATTCTTAGGGTGTCTAGTGTGTGGACAGATCTCTACACTCTTTTGCATTTGACTCTTTGGGAGGTCACTATAAAATAATCTTAGAAATTATGTGTGCTTTATTAAGTCTTTTCCCATGTAAACTCTGACTACAACAATGAGTTTATGGGACACGCAACTGCAGTAGATACAGACAATAGACTGCTCTTCTCTATATTTATTTTCCTTATATGCATGTATGTGTCTCCAGATATCATGATATCAGTTAAGGTCATGGGGCACCATCCTCTGATGAGTTTAAGGAAAGTTGTGGATGTTTAGTGGATTCTTTTTTTTTTTTTTTTTTTTTTTGAAAGGATAAGCATAACGGCGCCAAGCTTGTTACATTTAGGAACCCAAACTGGAAGTTTTCTGTGTTCCTTTCTATGTCTGCAGTAAGTATTTCATTGGCAACCTCGCACTCTGCCCTGCTGTGACCCATGTGGTTCTCCTTAGGCTCACAGTGATGGCAGATTAAAGAGCATTGTCCTGGCCTCCACAGCAATGGAGTTGGCCAGTGTTTTCTTCCAGTCACAACCCACACCCAGCCCTCAACCAAGGGAAGGTGCAGGCGGTGCTCAGGAACGAAGGAAAGCCTTCCTTCTGTCCAGCGGTCAGATAGCAGGGCAAATGCAGCTGCATTTCTTCCTACTGCATCTCCCCTGGCGTTTTACTGTGCTCCGTCTATACCTACCTCAGACACACTCGGCACTTCCCACTCTGTTCTGAGTTTTGCTGGGAACGCTTTAGCCCCCATTTCTTGGTGATCTTAGGCAGCCAAGTGATTCCCAGTGAGGTGTGGGGAGATGGCAAAATTCCTTTAAATGTCCTTTTAGCCTCTGCATTCTTGTCACCCTGTTGGTACCAAGCCTGAGGCTGAGTCACTAGAACGTCTGCGTTCCAATTATTGACAACTAACTCCCAAGGACATTCACATCTTTCATTCTCAGACTCCCCTTTTCAGTCCAACATGGAAAAAGAGACTTAAAATTGCAACACAAACAAAACCTGCATGTGGGAGGCCTTCATATTTCAAATACACTCCTGCCCTGGGCTAATACCTGCTTCAAATTGAGAACTTTGGCAAATTTGATTACTAAGTTTTTACATGATTAGGGCCTCTGAGGGAACACAAACCATCCAAAGAGGACAGGGAGACATTTTGGAATTCCAAAGCAATTTCTAAGAAAATTGGTCCTTGAGGATCCTAATTACCACAGCTCCCTGAACCCCGGGGGTAACGCTTGTGTGTGTACAATATTCTAACTTCTAAAGGAGGTAGATATCTTCATAACAGTGCCAGCCTTTTGCTTGAAGACTAAACTCCATATCTACTTCACCATAAATTCTAGCTGTACTCCTGCACCACGCCTATGGGTCTTGACTATATTCTCTCTTCAAGGGCACAAGGCACTGAGGAGATTCGTAAGGGCTGGTTGATCAGGATCAGGCATAGTGACACTAGGGTAATCACTAGATAACCAGAGTTTATTGACCCAGGGAATCTGAAATCCTCATCGGGATAGACATACCATATGCACTCATTTTTATGAGATTTCAGGGATCTTCTATTTGTATGCAGACAGCACTAGGCAACCTCTTGATCTTGACTCCAGGTATCCCAGGTCTCTTTGTTCTGTTTTAATCCCACCAGGTTTAGCTCTTCCCCCTCCTCAGTATCTCTCCTGAGCTTAGCGTCCCCCCAGTTCAAGTGGCTTAACCTGTTCTCCCTGCAGTGGGAAGAAGCTATTCCAGGCAGGTAAATCAGATAGAAGTTAATATACTGGCAGAGGGACTGAGATCTCAAGCAAGATATCAAGATTGTGGCTGGAGGCATAAGATGGAGTGGCCGGGCCTGCACACCTTCCTAGAGATAAACAGCAACTTGAGATTGTACTGTAACTAGCACCAGCTGGTCCACTGGGCCCAGGTACTCCTCAGACACCCATGTATGTGACCAAAATATCTGGACTCATACTACCCTACCTTCCCCAAAATAGCTTTGTTCTTTCTATGTACCCTTGCTACACGACCCTTTCTCCATTGGTTCAATATTAGCTAAGCAGCTATACTTGTAGCTATAGGTAGTCTGACCCAGGTTGTGCCCATGTTGTGACTTTGCTGTAGGAATCACTCCTGACAAAGGACCTCAGTGGCCATCCATTCAGAGCCGCTCCTGGAAATCCAGGATCTATTGTTCTTCCTCAAATTTCTAATAAAATTCTCCTAACTTCTCCCTTTAGTTAGAGAGTTCGTTCCTCAATTGTGGGATCACAAACTTGGTACATTTGACATCTAAAAGGTCAGGAGTTACCTTTCTCCTATATCAAGAATTGTTTTTTACCTTTGACTTGCTTTGCCATGGATACCGTAGACATAAGGTCCTAGATTCTAAGTGCAAAATATTTAGGATATTGGAGACTTAATATCAAAGCTCATACTGTCTTCAAGCTTTTTTTTTTTCTTTTTTGAGGCAGGGTCTTGCTATGTAGTCCAGGCTGGCCTTGAACTCACTGTGTAGCCCAGGCTGGCCTGGAAGTCACAATGATCCTCCTGCTTCTGCCTCCCGAATGCTGAGATTACAGGTGTGCTGTCTTCAAGTTTTGAAGGGAAAAACATCAGATAGTAGATAAGTGAGCTTTATCTTTCTATCACATATGCTATTTCACCAGGTGGTCATCTTTAAAAATTCTTAACCTTTTAACATATGCATTTCAAGTGTGTCCATGTTAGTGTGTGGTAGGAAAGCTGCCGGTAACAGATGGCGCCTTGCGGATGCCATCCGTGGCCCTCAGATGTTCTCGGGGGCCCTGATTTTTCTCTTTCTTCAGGGACTGTGTTGTTTTGCACAGCTGAGCACTAAAGGATAAAAGATCTCTTCCCTGCCCTGATGGGCTGGAGCTGCATTCATAGGAGCTGTGCTGGGTTAGTTGTGCCCCATCCTCGGCCACCCCTGGCCCAGTCATTCCCTCTCAAAGCACCACTACTGGTGTCACAGGAAGAAACAACTGTATAGTTCCGGGTTTGGAGAAGTTACCCCAGGCTTTCTGCCTCAAACTGGTGTGTCACATCACACAGATCCTCCAGGGCAGACTTGCTTATTTATTTGTTTGTTTTTTCATTTATTTATTTACACTTGACAAGGTCTCATTATGTAGCCCAGGCTGGCTTCACAGCAGCTATATATATGCCCATCTGCAGATGAACGGATAAAAAAAGTAGAGCACATACAATATGGAAAAATATAACTGCTGACATCAAATGTGCAGGGTTTGTGGTTTCACAACTTTGAGCAATGAAGTAGTGAACAAAAGGGGGAAGTTAGGAGAGTTTTATTGGGAAAAAGGAGAAGAACAACTTTTGGATTTCCAGGCAAGGCCCAAAATAGGGGGCCAACCAGCCCTTTCTCAAGGGCGATTTATGCAGCAAATGGGTACAACGTGGGTCCAAGTACAACCAACCTATAGGATTCCAATTATAATCACTTAGCTAATGCTGATCCAGAAGGGAAAGAAGTCATGTAGCGAGGATAGATGGAAAAATCCAAAGGAAGTTTTGGAAAAGGAGGGGAGACTGGGTCCAGACGTTGTGGTTACCCACCTAAGCATCTCATGCCCGCCTAAGCTCATCGGACCAGCTGATGCTAATTGCAGTATAGTTTCAAGGTAATTTTTATCTGACAGGTCTGGCTATTGAGGCTCCGTCCTGAAGCCTGACTCTTTTCCTGTTTGCCTCCAGCCATAACTCTGGTGCCTTTATTTTTTGGTGCTATCCCACTCAAGGCCCAGTCCCTCTCAGACTGCATATTAATTCCTAACTAACTTAGCAGCCTATCATATTTAAACACTATGGCGGGCTACTCAGCCATACAGAAGGAAAAATTTGAGTTTTTTGTAGGAAAATGGATGCACTTTGAGACCATCACGCTAAGTGAAATAAATCAGACATAAAGGTTAAATATCTCATGGTTTCCTTCATCTAGGAAACCCAAAGTATAATCATTTAGGAATGAAATGAAGGATGATTGCAAACATGGAGAGAAACTTTGTAAAGAGGAAACAGGGATCTGTGCATGAGGGGAGACAGCAGGGCAGAGAAAGGGACATTTTTAAAAATCAAGATGTGCTGTGTATATGTACCAATTCCCCAGGACATATTGTGGTAGGGGAAATGACGTAACTCTCAACCTGTTCAATGTCAGATATGCTGAGTTTATGTTTTTTAAAATCAAAGAATGAGGCCAGGCGTGGTGGCGCACACCTGTAATCCCAGCACTGGGGGAGGCTGAGGCAGGAGGATCGTTGCAAGTTTGAGACCAGCCTGGGCTACAAAGTAAGCTCAAGGCCAGCCTGAGCTGCATAGTGAGACCCTGTCTCAAAAAGACAAAAAATAAATAAACAAAAAATAAAAAAAAAAATCAAAGAATGAATTCTAAGGAACAGTGGAGCTTAATATTAGGAGAAATTTATTAAGAGTGATAGTGCCTGAAAGATAGGATGGGGACCCAAAATGAGTTGGCATGCACTGAGTCTATAGGTTGCCATAGACTCGTCTTTACAGAGAACATTTTATAGAGCAAACTCATGAGGTGAATATATTGTGGGATTAAAACTATGATCAACCAGTAAGGTTATAAGTACAGCTGCTTAAGTAATATTGATCTAATGGTGACGCAGGTCACATAGCAAGTGGACATGCAAAGAACAAAGACCTTTGTAGGAAGTGATGGATCAGGAGGAGGTCTTTGTCACCCACGTGGGTGACTGGTATCTAGCCAGACTTTCTTGAGTCAGGTTATAGCAATTATAGCATAATCATTAACTTATTGCATATCTCTCAGGGAAACATATAGGTCTGATCATTTTGTCTTTTTTTCTGGTTTTGGATTTTAAAAATTTCTTAAATTTATTTTATTGGGGCAGGGTCTCACTACTGGAGTCTAGGCTGGCCTCCAACTCTCAGCAGTCCTCCTGCCCCCAGCCTCCCAAGTACTGTGATCACAGGCGTTTGCCACCACACTCAGCTGTTTTATCTTTATCTGAAGCCTGACCTTTCACAGATGTACCTCTAACCACAAGTTGTAATGTGTTTTCATCTTTTGCACTGACTCTGTCCCAGACCTAGTCTTGTCTAACAGCAGATAACATTTTTACCTAATTTCAAAGTCTATAATAGTCTGTATTTATTATGTATGAGAAGCATACTTAACAGATTGGAGGAAGAAGGCAAAAGACAAACAACTCACTGTCCTCCTGGCTCACTCTCTGGAGTGCTAAGTTTCAAGAATGGGCCACCTAGCTAAGCTAAAAACTTGCTTTTTGACAGAATAAAATAGTGAATAAAAACACCATTATCAATTCTAGCAGGGCCAAGGAAATATTTCACATATGCAAACAAGGCAGATGGCAGACGTTAACACATTCAATATAATTGCAAATGAAAAGTGGTTGAAAAATCAATAGATATGATGCAGTTCCATGTTAATAAGCTATAGAATCTCTGTAAAATAATTATGCAAGGATGTGGTGTAGGGGCTAAGCTCTTGCCTAGCATGCATGAGGCACTGAGTTCAATCCTAGCATCCCCCCCAAAAAGCCCAATATTCGCAAAATTTCTGAAAAGGTTCCTAAGACAACATAAATTGCAGGACACACACAATCGTTCCCCAGCGTGAGAGCCAAGGACTCTGAAGTGGTTTTGCAAGTAGAGGTCAGCTGAGAAGAGAGCCCTGCGTGCAGTACTGTGGGAGGCCCAGGCACCGAGGGGAAGGAGCGAGGGAAGCCAGAAAAACCAAGGAAAGCAGTTGCTGCATTTCCGCACCGGTGTCAGCAGATAATTCCCCAGCTCTCCGTATCTCTCCGCCTATAGAAATGAGCCTTGGGGAGATGAACTTTCCTCCTCTTTCAGTCTCTGCCCTGTTTATCTACAGCTCCAACTACAGTTCCAGATTCTTCAATACCCTGAACTTGCTCCCTTTTCTGTCCAGGCCATTGGCGCCCCCCAGAAGCAGCTCAGCTGGGAGAAAGGGACCTTAGGAACTGCTGATCCCCTCAGGCAGTTCCTATGGGGGTGGGTAGGGCTCCCCTTTCACCTATGTTTGTGGGTCATTGTTAAGAAAATAACAGTGTCGGCAGGGCATGGTGGCACAAGCCTGTAATGCCAGCACTCAGGAGGCTGAGGCAGGAGGATCGTTGTAAGTTTGAGACCAGCCTGGGCTACAAAGCGAGATCAAGGCCAGCTTGAACTTCATAGTGAGACCCTGTCTCAAGATGCAAACAGTTCCCCCTAAACACGCAAACAAACAAAAAAAAACTCACCTAGAAAACTTCTTTCAAGATCAGTGTTATTGAGAGACATGTTACATGCACTCGTTCAGCGGGCACAGCTTCATGAGTTTTGGACAGGTTTTACACCTGCATAACTAGCGTATAATCAATACTCAGGACATTTATAGTACTGCAAAGAGCTCCCCAGGTAGGTCCTCTGTAGCCAGCTCTTCTCAGCATTGCCTACCCCTCCCCCACCACCTCTCATCTCTGCGAGATGGTCCCAGAGATTGTTTTTAAGGGGTGAGTGGGACAAATTTGTAGAATGATTTGGGAGTCTATGCGCAGCCATTAAAGTTGTAGGGGAGAAGACACTGGGTGCAGGAAAGGTTTAACAGTGTTTCTCAGACTCGGCCACGACTGACATTTTGGACTGGCTAATTGTTTTGAGAAGTGTTCCTTGCAGGTAGGAAGTTTAGCAGCATCCCTCGCTCCTACCCACCCGAGGTTAGTAGCCAGACCTCGTTCTAACAACTTCTTCAGACACTGGGAAATCTCCCTTCTCTGGAGAGACTGTAGAGTTGCGGGATTTCCCTCTCTCCCGGTGGAGAGGACTGCAGCTGTTGGCCCTGAGGCTTCTTCCTCTTTCCCCTTCCTGCCAGCCCCGGGAGTTTCACTTTCATTTGTCAGCCAGCAACTCGGGAAGGAGAGAGAGACTGCAGGCAGGCCAAGCCCCTTGGGGTGAGTGAATTCCACCCAGGAGTTCTCCACAATCTTCAAGCAGGAGTCGAGATTTGCACCCTGGGGCCTGAAGGTGTGTGGGGAAGCCTGGGGCAGAGGGCTCACAAGGGTGGGAGACTGCAGAAGGAAAGTACTAAAGGGAGTTGGCGGACTTTAATTTGTGCTCAGAGGCGGTTCTCTCGCAAGGCGAGAAAAGCCCAGGTGCCCAGAGGAGGCAGCCCTGAAGAGCCACAGGGGGACGCGCCTGAAAAGGAAATTTCAAAGAGCAAAGGGCTTCTTTTCTGAAGGAGCCTTCATTTCTTCTGGTTGGATCCATTCTTACAGCCTTCCTGTTCCTTAGTTTCAATTCTCTACCTTCCAAGGGAAACTGCAATTCATTCTCTCCCTCTCCCTTTCTCCCCCAGGTCAAAGGAGGGTCTCTCCCTCCCTGACCCTTCTTGCTACTCAGAAAGTCCCGGGTGCAGTGGGGAGGCACCCCCCCCCTCTGCCTTCCACGCTCCCAAGGCAGCGTGCAGCTCAGAGGCTCAGGCGGGGTGAGAGTTGAAGCAGGTTCTTTCCCTGCCAACTGACAACCATGGAGGGACTGTCTGGGCCTTGGTGACACATTCTCAGCCCTTGGCCTGCCCGAGGCCAGCAGGTTGACCTGCTGACTACCACTGCTCTGTGTCCCTTTTATCTGTGTCCTGGAGCTCCAGCGTCAGGAATCAAGCTGAGTTGCTCTGAATAAACTTGTTCCTGTTCTTCCTTTAAGAGACAAGTCTTGCCATGTTGTCCAGGCTGACATTAAGGCCCTCGGGTCAGATGATCCTATTGCTTCAGCCTTCTTAGGAGCTAGAACTAATGCCTCATGGAATCCACATCTGTGATTCCAAAGCCCAGCCACTGGAAGACGGCTAATAGGTGAAAATAAACATTAATAAGAAAGGTCGAATTATAGACGGATGGGGAGGCTCTTTATGTAGTCAGGAGATGTTATATTTCTGTGCATTCCAGGCACTGATGATAAATCAGTTGGAGAAAAACGCCTCATTTAGGAAGAGAAACAGTCATAAAGATAGCGATTGTATGACAGAGAGAGGTAGCAACTGTCCACCAGGTGCTGTGTCTGGGGCTGTGCTCTGGTCAGAGCAGGCGCTGATGAGGGGATGCAGAGAGCAGAGGAGTGAGGGATGAGAGGAAGCCATCCCCACAACGCGGGACCATCAGCGGCGGTTCTCAGCACTGATCCTTGCCCGGGCCTGTGAATGCTGCTTATACCTTTCTCCCTCTCCTTTTCCTTCTTTAATGTGCGTTCTCGGCCAGTTATTAATGTCTGCACAGTTAGGCTCCTCCTTGTTTTTAGCATTCTGATGCCGATTTTTTTAATCTCTGTAGCCATCGAGAAGTCTTTAAGTGAGAAGAACCTCAGGAATTAGGACAGAAGAAGCCCAGGGAGCAGTTGCAATGGCTTCCAAAGCCCTGGCAAAGCCAGAGAAGCAGGTGACTTGCCCCATCTGCCTGGAGCAGCTGACAGAACCACTGAGTCTAGGCTGCGGCCACAGCTTATGCCAAGCCTGCGTCACCGTGGACAGCGAGGAGGCAGAGACCGGCTCAGGGAAGGAGCGCGGCTGTCCCCTGTGCGGGTGCAGGGACGTCCGCAGGGATCTGGAGGCTGATCGGCCCCAGGCTGATGAAGTGGAGAAACTCCGGGAGGTGCAGTTGAGCACAGGCACTGGGAAGAAGGCAGATTTCTGTGCACTGCATGGAGAGAAACTCCAACTCTTCTGTCAGGAGGACCAGAAGTTCCTCTGCTGGCTCTGCGAGCGTTCTCGGGAACACAGGGGCCACCACACGTTCCTCAGGGAGGAGGTAGCCCGGGAGTGTCAGGTATGGGGAGGGTGGAAGCTCACCTTGTTCCTTTGCGCACATTGACACCGTCACACAGAGCCCTGGGATCCCTTTCCTATGGCTCTTATTCTACATTCAGCTTCCAATGCCGACAGTGCGTTTTAGTGTGCTCCTTCCGGGTCATAGACAAGGGACCCTAACGTACACACAGTATCTTGACCCAGAGTGGGGAGTTTGGGGTCCTCTCTCCCACTTCCTTGTATCAGTGGGTGATTTCCTCCAGAGTGCTGCCCTTGTTATCCTCCTGGCTGGATGACTGCTGGGGAGCCCTGTAGATTGCATGTGGAGAAAGCGTCAGGGAGAGGAAAGCACTGCACTCACAGCAGGGGCAGAGGAAAGCGGAGCAGGCTACTGCTGGTGAGAAGATAACGAATTCTCTTCCTCAGCACTAAGGAGTACGTTCCCATGCTCTGGTTTCCTCACACTTTGAAAATTCTAATCACCAACTTTAAAGATTCTAAACATTTATCTCAGGTTCAACTAAAATCAGCGGGAGCTGGCTGTAGTGGCACACACCTGTTATCCCAGCACACTAGAGGCTGAGGCAGGAGGATCCTTGCGAGTTTGAGACCAGCCTGGGCTACAAAGTGAGCTCAAGGCTGGTCTGAACTGCAAAGCGAGACTGTCTCCAAAAGACAAAAAAAAAAAAGCAAGAAAGAAAACAATAATAAATGAAATCAGCTGGAGGGCCAGGTGTAGTGGCGCACACCTGTCATACCAACACTTGGGAGGCAGCTACAAAAGCATCACCATGAGTTCAAGTCCAGCCTAGGCCACATAGTGAGTTCAAGGCCAGCCTGAATAACATAACGAGACCCTGTCTAAAAGAAACAAAAATTTGGGGCTGGGGATATAGCTCAGTGGCACAGCACCTTGCTTAGCAAGCTTAAGGTTCTGAGTTTGATTCCCAGTACCAAAAAAAAAAGAAAAAGACCCAAATAAATAAATAAAAATTAAAACTAAGATATTTAAAAAATGAAATCAATCAGATTTATTTCCGGCTGCCCCTCTGTTGATGTACCGAGGATGCTCAGAACTTGACTCTGGTGTGATTTCCTGTCCTATAGGAGAGACTCCAGGCAGCTCTCCAGAGGCTGTGGGCAGAGCAGCAGGAAGCTGAGAAGTTGAAAGCTGCCATCAGGGAAGATAGAGCTTCTTGGAAGGCAAGATGAGGGGTGGGAGACAGGACTCTGGGCAGGGCCTTTGGTTCTAATTTCCCTGATCTCTTTATCTGTATTCTGTGCTGTTTCCTAAGTCCAGGAGTCATCTGATTGGTCCTTGTCTTTGTTCTGCCCTTGTCCGGGTGGGGGCTGTGTGCAGACCTGTGATCACCGCACACAGAACCCTGCAGGTGAGCACAGAGCAGACCACGGGACGGCATGAGGCTGAGAGCACTGTTCCGTGTCTTGCTCCAAGGATGCTCTCACGCTTCTTGGGAGGATCCTAGGAAAAAGACTAAAGTTTTCCTGGTTTAAATGGGGAGTGAGATGATGCAGGGACCCATATGCCCAACCCAACTGTGGACCACCCACACCTTCACTTCACAGTGTGTCTGAGGGTTGCCCTATGTAAGACAGGCAGAGGCCCTCTTCAGGTAGCTGCTAGGGAAAAATGATGAAAAAATATCACTTCCTCCAATTGCTCTCTTGCTTGTGCGCCCCTCCTCGTGTGAAGTCCCTGCAAACTATTATCCCTCTGGCTCCTATATCTTGCACAGTGGCCCTCTGTCTGACGGGTTTATCGCATCTCTGTCTGTGCACACTTGCAGGGTGAGGTGCACACCGAGAGACAAAGGATACGAGGAGAATTCTTTTGGCTTAGAAGCATCCTGAACATTGAGGAGCAGATAGAGCTGCACAGATTGGAGGAGGAAGAAAAAAAGACACTGGACAGTTTGGCGCAAGCTGAGGATGAGCTGGCTCAGCAGAGCCAGGTGCTGAAAGAGCTCATCTCAGATCTGGAGCGTCGCAGTCAGTGGTCCACAGTGGAAGTGCTGCAGGTGGGCATGAGCACCTAGCCTGCGGGTTGAGAAGGTAGTCTGCCCCTCTCCTTTATTTGCCCTGTAGTTTTCCATGTGGAAAAGAAATAGTGAAACCAAGCGTACTAGCTTTTCTCCTGATCTCAGGGAAAATGCACTCAAGTATCCCCAACAGAGTTCCATGTTAACTATAGAATGTGGGAGAATCCTGTTGTTAGGCTGAAAAAGCTCCTTTCTGTTTCAGTTTTGTTATTCCCCTTTTGTAGATTTTTTTTGGTCTCTTTGACACAGGGTCTCGCCATGCAGTTCAGGCTGGCCTTGAGCTCACTTTGTAGCCCAGGCTGGTCTTGAACTCACAATGATCCTCCTGTTTCAGCCTCCAGAGTGCTGGGATTACAGACATGTGCCACCATGCCCGGCTCCCCTTTTATTTTTATCATGAAAGTGTGTGACCATTTGTCATACTTGTTTTCTGTCTTCCATTGAGATTGTCATGTAGTTTTTATTCTACATTCTAATATATGTTGTGTTATCTACCTTTTCTTATGATAAACCAAGTCATTTCTTAGTTAAATTGCACTTTACCATGATCATAATGGCCAAGAATTTTTTTTTTTTTGCTGTATTCAATTTTCTACTATTTTGATGAAGAATTTTATGTCTATGTTCATAAGAAATTGTGGCCTGTACTTTTTTTTCTAGTATTGTTTTTGTGCAATTTCAGTATCAGGGTGGGACTGACTGCATATAATTCTCCAGAAAGTGTTCCCCCCTCTTTAGTTTTTCTGAAGAATTTCCAAGATACTGCTGTTTTGTTTTCCTTTTTTTTTTTTTTTTTTTTTTTTTTGGTACTTGGAATCGAACTCTGGACCTTGCGCTTGCCAGGCAGGGGCATGTGCCACTGAGCTACTGATATTGCTATTATATCTTTAAACTTTTCTCAAAATGTACCCACGAAGCCCTCAGACACTGGCTTTTTCTTTTTAAGAAGGCTGTGACTTCGGGTACATTTTCTTTGCATACTTTAAATCTATTTACCTTCTCTGCCATTTTAAATCAGTGTTGGTAGTGTCTGTGCTTCGAGAAAGTTTTTTTTTTAATTTCGTCTAGATTATCTGATTTGTTGGTATATAAAGGTTTATAATTTACAATTTGTGTGGGGGTAGGTGTGTTGTACTGGCAATTAAGCCCAGAGTGTTTCACTGGTCAAGCAAGGGCTCTACTGCTGAGTTACACCCCTTCCCTGTCCTTGGCGAATCTTCATTTTCCTAACAGTAGTACTGTTTCAAGCTTCATTCCATTTGAATAATTCAAGCTGAATAATCCTTTCTCTTTTTTCTTGATGTGCCTCATGAAAAAT